ATGGGGGAAAACTAATGAGTTCGAATATTAATGAACTCTATAGAAGAGTTATCTATTGAAATAATACTCTTACCGGTTTATTAACAACAAGTAGATCTACGCCAGGGGAATTAGTAATGTGTCAGGAAAAATTGGTACAAGAAGCCGTGGATACACTTCTTGATAATGGAACCCGCGGACAACCAATGAGGGACGGTCATAATCATAATAATACAAGTCGTTTTCAGATGTAATTGAAGGCAAAGAGGGAAGATTTCGTGAGACTTTGCTTGGCAAACGAGTCGATTATTCGGGACGTTCTGTCATTCTTGTTGGCACTGTAATTTTTTATATAACTAAGTTTATATCGAAAAATACTAATGGCCCGTCTCTTTGTCCCACTCAACGTGGCAATGCTCTAAGGCCGCTTGCACCTCTATTTCATTTTTCCTTGATTCTATATACAAGAGTGATTACATTGAGAAATTTGATTTAAAGATAGCTTTGAAGGCCATGAATCAAACAAGAATAATGGTGCTTAATTAATAAGACTTACAAAGTAGTAGGAGAGGTTTATTATTTAATTTATATTTATATTACTAAACTATAAGAGTTTCAAAAGAAAAAGGCTAAGAGATGTAAACTGGTGTGGTGTGTTTTGGTGAATGACAGACAGCTTGGGTTTATGGTCAACTAAAAAGAACAATAAAGGACATGGGTGAGTGAAAGAGGGGATGTTGAATGTCAATGGTATTTTGAAGTTAATTGGCCACTTTGGAAAATTGGATAATTATGAGACCTTGACAATGAATAGAAGTCTGCAATATCTTTAACACGGAAAATGAGAATACAAAAAAAATTGTTCATCAACATTACAGAAAAAGTAGATAGCTTTTTAACATTTCTTTACTTAATTTCTTGTTTGTTCTTATAAGTCACATGATTATTGATAATTTTACACTTTAATTCTTTGTTTTATTACTTTCTTTAAATAAATAAAAATTTAGCATATTTAAAAGAAAAAACAAATGTGAAATTGTAGACACCTCAACCCTCACTCTCCTTTACTCTCATGCATTCAGTCAAGGTCCATCTTTGCAGAAGAAACCTTTCCAATGTGAAATCTTCTTTTCTTTCCAGTTTGAAAATGTAGGAAAAATATAATGACTTTCAATTGCATTTCCATATCAATATCACAAATGATCAAGATACAATCCAATGACTTAAGCTATTGAATTAACCATAAAATGGTTAAAGACCCAAGATAAGGGGCATCCCAATCTTTCTAACCCTAGCAATACGCTATAATTGTGACCACATATGACTTATTGACAACTTGTTGCCTAGAAAGGTTGGGATTGACTTTGATATTTATGACCAAATTCTTAGCTTCTAACCCCAAAAAGCAAGTTTGAGTTGCACTCTTGTCAATTCCATTGTTTTCAACTGGCCATTTTCTTTCCTTTTTTTTAAGCCAAAAATTTATTAATGAAATATGAGAAAACATTCACAATATTAAGAGATCACTGTTGAGATGAGGCTTTAGAGGAAGAAGATCCAGTTGGTCCGTGCTGATGATTTTGGTGGTGGTTGATTTCATTGACAAGGAAACCACATAATTAGGAAACAGCACTACCACCATAAGAGCCAGAATGAATTGAGAGTTTCCCTTGAGGATTAAAGAGAAACTTAATTGTAAGGCAATTAATTGATCAGAGTTCTATGGTTTGTACTTCAAAACCAATGATCAAGCTAAGGAAATTTTAACTAATTTGTTTGCATTCTCTTTTTCTTTGTCTGCTTGATTCTCATTTCAGATTATACACTTTTTATATTTAACTTATCAAAAATTTAATCGTGACGACAAAATTTGTTGTATAATTTGAATAGAAGTGATATTTGTTAATTGGTTTGATTTTTTTATTTTCAATTTTCAATTTTTGATTTTGATTTTCTATTTTTGTTTTATTTATTTATTTATTTTATTGAAAAAAATAAGAAAAAGAAAGAAAAACTTTGACATGAATTTTTAAAGTTATAGTTTATTTATTTGCATGATATTTCCTATGGTTTTTATTTATTTCTATGGTTTATTATGATTTTTTGGCAAGATTTAATTATGATATTGTTGCATGATATTTATGATTTTTCTATGATATTTTGATAATACTTTTGTAAGACATTATTTTGTAAATAAATAAAAGAAATTAGAATCTGATTTTTTTGTTAGATATTTAATGAATCCAACGGTAAAACCTCTTCAAGTGAACAACAAATTTATCTTAAATATTCTTGAAGTGAGGAAAAAAATATTTTTTGGTGAAAAGCTAAAAACTTTTTTTCAATGTTTAAATTTTGAAATTAATAAAAATCATATTTGATTAAGGCTTAAACAAGATAACATGTGATTACTTTTGTATCAATTTTGGATGTTATGAAGTGCCAAAACCTTCCCTACATGTAACCAACTCTCAGATTTAATTCTCTTAAAGTAGACTAAAATCTTTTTTTTTTTATAGGAATCCTTACTTTAAGCTTATAATAACCTTAGAAATAATAGATTCCTTTAAATGGTCAATCACACATAATTAGAAAAAAATTGATGGTAACTTCATAATTTTTGTATCTAATGAACAGATTTTCAAATTTAAACGTTATGACAAACATACAAAATATGTTAGTATAAATAAATTATAGTAGATGTTTGCATCAAGCCAAATAAAGTGACGTTGTACTTGTATGAACATTTCTATTAGCTTTTTGGATGATGATTTTTTTTTTAATAGTGGCTGATAATTGATAAATGTCAAAGTTTTAGATTGTGAAAAAAAATGACCTTTTTAAAAAAATAGTGGATTGCAAATGAATTTTAATGGATGAAATTAGCTCAAATATTAATTAATGTAAAGTACAATAAGAGATAATCTCTTCTTATTCCATAAATCTCAACTTTTATTCATCTCAAGATTCAAACCTAAAACCTCAAATTAAAATCCTAATTTTGTTTGTTGGGATATGCCCTTTGATACTAATATAAACAACGATGATAAAAGCAATATGTTTTGACACATAAAAAATTTTATTCTTGGGTACAGAAATAACATCGGAACAGAATAGGACCATTAAGATAATTTCCATGGAATAGTCCATGTCAATGCGGGGCAAACTTATTGCAGTGGCCCTAAGAAACAAATATTGACCAACGACTTTACTCATTTTCCAATTAAAAGTTAGAAAGAGAAAAAAAAAAAAAAACCATTTTGTTCGGCTGTCAATTGTCCTTTTCATGCCAAAGAAAAACCATTTTTTTTTCTGATGGCCCAATCGATACGCTGAAATTGGGGCCACATTTGATATGATTTAAAGACAGCATTAATTTCCTGATATTCACAACTTGTAGTTTGGAAATGTGGTTGACTGACTCAAGACTTACATGATCAAATTTTACCATCTAACCCAAAAAAAAAAAAGTTTAATTAGTTGCATTGCACTCTTGTCAATTCAATTGTTTTTAGTAGGGCACTTCGTGGCTATAGAAATCAATCAATTATTGACAAAACAAAAAAAAAAATGTAAATTATATATTGCATATGATACAGCAAAAAGCTATTGAGGAATCTATTATGCGACGTTGACAATGAATAGAAGTCTAGAAAGGAAATTGTTCATCATTAAATAAATAAAATGAAAATACAAAAGAAATTGTTCATCAACATTATACAAAAAGTAAATGGCTTTTTAACTTAATTTCTTGTTTGTTCTTATAAATATCATGATTATTGATAATTTTACACTTGTTTTGTGACGGGTTTAATGTTTCTTTAAAACAATGAAAAGTTCGCATATTTGAAAAAAAAAAAATCAAATGTGAAATTGTAGACACCTCAGTCCACTCTCATGCATTCAGTCAAGGTCCATCTTTGCAGAAAAACTCTTTCTAATGAGAAATGTGAAATCTTCTCTTCTAACGTGGGATTGGGATTCCCACTTTCTAGTTTGAAAATTTAGGAAAAATATAATGACTTTCAATTGCTTTTCTATATCAATTTCACAAATGATCAAAATACGGTCCAATAACTCACGTTATGGAATTAAACATAAAATGATTAAAGACCCAAAATAAGGGGCATTCCAGTTTGTCACTTGACATGGCCAAAATTGAAGGCCTTGCAACTCCAAGGCTCCAACTATATTTTCATATTTTTAACATTATAACATCTCAATAAAATCAAAATAAAGGTATGATTTTGAATCACATATTCAAAGCTTTGCCTCCAAAGATTGAGCATTTAATTTCACCTTATTTTGATAGAAGAAAAAGGTAAGTGAGTTAAATTGTTGTTAGACAATGCAATTCGTTTTTAACATCCTTAATTACTTGCCTAATAGAAAGTTCACAATTCACGTTGCACTAATCGATTGTTTCTAATTAAAGGTTAAAAAAGGGAAAAAATTCTTTGTAGATAGACAAAGTTTTTTCAATACGATTTTTTGACTGACCTCAAACCTAAAGAATACTTTGATAATTGGTTTCCCACTATTTTGAGGAACTCTGTTTTTTATTTCTTGAAGAGTTGAGAAAGACAGACTCCTCTCCAAAAGAAATCAAATCTCTAAGTTTAGAATAATGATTTCCAATTCTAAACAATCTGTACAAGGAAAAAAACTTTTTTGTTTAAAACATTTTGCGGAAACTTAAATCAACCAAAACAAATAAACATCAAATACAACATAGAACTTTATAGCAATTCAGCAATTCATGTAATGTTCAAGACCACACATTAGAACAAAAGCCCACAAACACAGTTAATTTATTAAGGCAAGCACTCAAATACGAATGAATTGAGCTGAAACTATGGATTTGCTAAGCTTAAAGGAAATCAAGAAAGACAAACCCATAAGCTCAAAGGAGTCAAATAGAAAAGCCAGCTACATGAAGGTTCTCTTCAATAGGCCCGCTTATTTGACTCATGTAAAAACTTGATTTTAATCTTCTTCAGCTTAGCAACAACTTCTTTCATGTCAATCCTCTCTTCTGGAACTTCTTCAGAACATTCCAATGCTAATTGCAAAATAGATAAAGCACAATCTCTTGTGGCAGAGTATTGTCTTTCTTTATTATTTAATAAATTGGTATCTACAACTCCCATTAATGCTGATGGTAATGACTGTTTCACCCAATATTTTATGCTCATTTCCCCAGCAAAAATTTCATCTGTGGGTTTCTTTCTTGTGAAGGTCTCCATTAAAAGAATACCAAAGCTGTACACATCACCTTTTGTTGAAACAATTCCTTCCGATCCGTATTCTACATGTAAATTGTCAAAATCGTCATCAAAGCATACAATGATGTTACGTTAGTCATCATAATAGGATAAAAGAGTTTTAAATTTTCTATTACCTGGTGCCATATACCCAATCGTTGCTAGTGTCATGGTGTGTATTGTTGAATCGTGTTCACCTAATAGCTTTGCAATGCCAAAATCACCCAAATGTGCAACCATATCTTCATCAAGAAGAATGTTGTTGGGTTTTAAATCGCAATGGATCACAGGTGTTGTATAACCATGATGAAGGTATTCTAATGCAGATGCCACATCGATCATTATGTTCAACCTCTGCAAGATATCCAAAAAATGGTTATGAGAGTACAACCACTTCTCTAGACTTCCACTAGGCATGAACTCAAGAACCAAGGCTTTAAAATCAACGTTAGAACAGCTACTGATGATTTTGACTAAATTTCGATGGCGAATGTTACGTACGACCTCGCACTCAACGTCAAAGCTCTTAAATGCTCCTTCTAACTCCAAATTGAAGACCTTTACTGCAACGCTTAACCCATCTGAAAGAATTCCTTGGTATACTGATCCAAAACTCCCTACACCAAGTAATTTGCTTTCAGAAAATGCATATGTAGCCTGTTGAAGCTCTTGGTATGAAACTCTTCTCCATTCTGCTAATGCTGGGAAATTTTCTTGAGCAGTTGGCAGATTTACATTCCTTTGTCCTCTTCGTGAAAAAGTGAGAATCACTGCAAGTACTAATATTATTGAGCCAATTGGAAATAAAATGTATTCAACGAGTTGAATAGCTTTCCTTGAATGCTTTCCAAAAGAAATAGCCTTGCATGGTGGGAGTGGGAGTTGCAGTTGAGGTACGGCACATAGCGCTTTATTTCCCATGAAAGATTGAATGGAGAAGTTGGTAAAGGATCCTTTGTTAGGAATTTCTCCTTGTAATCTATTGAATGAGACATTAAAATGTTCAAGATACAAGAGCTTCTCTAAAGACTTGGGGATGATTCCTGAGAAATTGTTCCTTGACAAATCCAGGACTTGTAAACTTATTAGACCCCCAAATGACTCAGGTATAGGTCCTTGCAATCTGTTACCAGATAATGAGAGATAGGTCAAGACCGTAAGATCACCAATGCTCATTGATATTTCACCTGATAATTGATTTTTGGAAAAATCAATGCTAGTGATAACCTTCCACTTTCCAATGTCAACTGGGAGGGGCCCGCTTAAACAATTGGAACACAAGTTTAGCTCTAAGATATCTGTAAGCCTTGTCAAGGTTGAGGGTATTGAGTTGGCAAACTTGTTGGAGCCCAAAAATAGATATCTAAGAGAAACAAGATCACCTAAACATGCTGGTATTGGTCCAACCAATTTGTTACCGGTAAAATACAGGTAACTTAAACTCTTTAAATTGCATAACTCAGCTGGGAAGAATCCTTCTAAATTGTTGCCTTGAAGAGATAGACGTTGCAAATTTTTTAATCTTCCAATTGTGGTGGGAAGAGATCCACCCAGTTTATTGTTATCTAGGTCCAACCAAATCAAGTTGCTTACATTGCCAATTTCTCCTGGAATACTGCCTTTAATGTTGCAACCATAAGCTACAAAATTTTCAACAGAGAGATTTCCTATAGAAACCGGAAGTTTACCACTGATCATAGGATTGATGGCAAACTCCAATACTCTCAAGTGTTTGCAATTTGCCAATGAAGATAAAAAGCTCAACTCTGAGGACGAAGGTGCGCTAGCCAAATTATTCTGACCTACCCCTAGAATTTGTAGATCTCTTAAATTGCCAAGGTCAATAGGAATATATCCAGAAAATGAGTTGTCCTCAAAGGAAATAATAGTAAGCCGAGAGGCATTGGATATGGAGGCAGGTATCAATCCACTTAACTTATTTGTTGCAAGTTCAAGGATTTCAAGCTTCGGAAGCCAAAGATCTGTGGTTGATGGAAGATAGCCTGAGAGCTGGTTTACTGGTAGCATAATGAATCTCACAGTTGAGCTATTAAAAATGCGAGGAGGGATGATTCCAGAGATCCTATTAAATGCCAAATACAATTCTTCCAATTTTGGTAGGTTGCCAAATTGAAGTGGTATATTACCTGCCACAAAAATCAAAGGGTAATTCCATTGTCCTATATTGATCCACATAATAAATGACAAAAACAAATGAAAATGTGATTTGCACGTATCTCTTGGTATTGTTAATTTTATATCATTCTTAATAATTAGTGTCGGTAACATTTTACTAATAATTAGAGTCTAATTATAATAATATTAATATTCACTAATAATAAAAATATTAATATTCAAATATTAAAAAGATGCAGTTATAACACAAATGGAAATAATGTGATATATTACCGGTCAAGTTATTGTAGGAAAAAAGAAGAACTTTCAAAGATGTTAGGTTGCCAATGACGGAAGGAATAGCCCCTATTAGTTGACATTTTGGAAGACTTAATATCTCCAAACTCAGAAGATTACCAATCTGTGGTGGAATTTTACCTGCATTTATAATGAAATTTTATTTCATGTTAAAATTATTGGTAAATTTCGTTTTCTTATACATGAATACGTCTTATTTCTTTGTTAATCACGAAAGAATTAAACAATGTTCAAGTAATACAAAGCACTAATTCCCGCACAAATAATTTATTTTTTATATTTAATATGAATAAAATATATTCAAATGAAAAAAAATAATATTAATAGTGCATACAAGGTGGTAATAATTAATTGGTGAATGATTAGTCAATGAAAACTACACGCATGATTATTAAAGTAAAAGTTTGGGATTAAATGAGAAAATCTAAAAGTAAAAAAGAAGTGAGTCGAATTTAAATAATAAAAAAAAACAAGGAAAGTAAAAAAAGGACGTGACACTAATCACAAAAAATAAAAATAAAAATGAAGAAAAAAAAAAGAAAGAATCTGCAAAAAGCCTTAAACATTTAATATGCTGACAGCAAAAAGGATGTGACGCTATTAACAAGTAAAGCAACTTAAATTTTTTAAATATGAATTTTCATTGGTTTTATTTAGGCTACAAATTGAATAAGCGTTATTCAGCGATGTTACTTCAAGCATCGCGTCTTCTAATTTATATTCTAGCAAAATGTGGTACTGGAAAAATCAGTGTGCGACTCGACATAAAATCATATACTTTA